TGAGGAAAAAAAAAAAAAAAAAGTCTAACAATAAAATGTAAAAAAAAAAAAACTTTGAAAGTGAAAGTGTACATTAAATCAGAAAAGACTAAGTATTTTTAAGACTTTAGGTCCCATTAGACTTTTAGACATGACATTTACACGGTATGCCAATGTACTTTAAAGATTGTATATTATGTATATTCTAATGTATATTAATTTTGATTCCTAATTTGACTAGAATCATACAAAATCCTGGATTGAAGCACTGTTTTTATATAATCAACAGCATAGCATGGATCATACTCTCAGCTACTGTATCAGTTATCTGCTATAGCAAAAAACATATCTGCAGTATGAGGGACAATTTCTATATTGTGCATCCCTAGTAAACAGATGAATGAACCCAAACCCACACAGTTCTGTTCTCTCAATGATGTGGTAGAAAGTAACCAATTTCAGGAACAGCAAACACACGCACATGCCAGAACACCTCACACCTCTTCTCTCCCTCCCCCAGTGCTGAGCTGATATAAATAGCACTTCTCTGCTTCTCCAAAAATCTCCTCCGCACCTCTCTGCACCCTCCTTCTCCTCAAACCTTTCCCCTCTATTGCTCACCCAACCCTTCCCTCCCCATTCAGCAGAGATTCCAGACAGCCGTAGAAAGCGTCTCCTCCCTCGGTTCTGCCTTATCACTAACACTGCCAAATGCCAGGCCTGTCCATCACTGAGCAAACGCTCCACCACCCCCGCTGCATCATGGGAAGGGCTGTGGATGTGTACAAGCATGTTTGATTATGAGGCTACGAGTGTCCATACTTGTATGTGCTTATCTGAACGGGACATTTCATGTAAACACACGGAAATGGGAATAAAAAGAAAAAAACCTCTTGAACACAATATATCCAAAACCTCACCTCACGACAAGTGAAGGAAATTTAGATGAAAAACTAACGTCTGAGCATGTTATAATTATTATCACCATTACTAGTGCTCTGAAGATTAGAGATACTGAATATTAGAGATCTGAAGAAGCCACTAATTATTATCGATGCACCAATATTCAAATGCTGGGCGTTACCAATAACTTGTTAAATTATTTTCATCTTATGGCCGATAGCTGATAAATGGCCAATATTAAAATTCTACAAAAATTATATATAATTATATAGAATACATAAAATATTTTGTCTAAAAAAGTTACAAAATAAAGACACATAAGAAAGTAAAATTAATAGTTATAAAAAAAAATGCTGCAGTTTTTTTTTTTTTTTTTTTTGTAATTTAAACCGTTACCAATAACTTGTTAAATTATTTTCATCTTATGGCCGATAGCTGATAAATGGCCAATATTAAAATTCTACAAAAATTATATATAATTATATAGAATACATAAAATATTTTGTCTAAAAAAGTTACAAAATAAAGACACATAAGAAAGTAAAATTAATAGTTATAAAAAAAAATGCTGCAGTTTTTTTTTTTTTTTTTTTGAGAATTTAAACGACATTATAATGCACAATGTGAAAATGGATGTTCATTTTGAGAGTTTTATTAGTGTTTTTAAAGATTAACTTGAGGTTAGTTTTAGATGACAGAAAAGGTAATCTAAATGTAAAAATAAGAGAAATCAGTTACATCTTTAAACATCCAATATCAGCCAATTCCATTAGATAATAATAAATATAAAAAAACCTCTAGAAATGGCGATAGCATGGTACCGATATAACGTTTTTGCACTGTTTGTACTACACACACGTATGGCAACTCAAATCAAGTGGCTTGAGAACAACTTTTAATCTGGCGGACAATAAAACGGGCGAATAAACGAGAATGAAGGGAGGGACCATATCTAGGGAACAGAATATCATAAAGACTTGGCTTATTTTGACTTGTGTCAGCAAGTAACCACCTAGCAACAATTAAAAACACTCAGAACTCCTTAGCAACTGCAAAGCAACGCCATAGCATAATGGCAGCAATGTTTCCACAGGCGCTCACATTTTCTTCGGAACAAATAAAATCTAGTTTAACCTCAATATTCCTGTACAGACATCACTGATTAAGAAGCCTGATCTGTTTTCATAGGCCATCCGTTTAAAACGGCTTAAGAAACCGATCAGATAGAAAACGGTAACTGTCCACTAAAAAACACATCGTGTTTAACACGTATAACACCTTCATGAACACAACACGGCCTGCAGGATGGAATGAATAAAGCTGCAAGCAGATGTATGGAGGTATGATAAAGAAAGGGAAGGAGAACGTTTAGCAGGGAAGAAAGAAACAACAAAATATTTAAAAGAGGAACAAACTCATTCAGAAGCACATGAAGAGGGAAAATCCCATTTGTTCATTTTCTCTCTCTCAGAATCACGGTTAAATGTTTTGTAACACAGTTAATTGATAATCAGTCAATCTCCAGATTTTAGCCATTTAGTAACCATTGCGATTTCCATTTGGGATCTCAAAGACTTGAGACAGGAAGTGTAATACAGCTCCAGAAATGAAACTACAGCTACTTTCCACTAACAATTAATGATCTACGCCTCCATCTTACCGGTGAGGAATACTGTGTGGAAAAAAACAGGAGTTCAGAATGACCTCACACAGACAGAAGAGCTCCAGGCTGCTGTCAAGCCACCCACAGCCACAGACAGACCCATCAGCAGCACACGCGCACACAGAATGAGAGAGACTGAATGAATGAATGAATGGAGCGCAGATGTGACAGGGTGATGTATGGAAAAGAAGGCAAGGAAGAGAATGAAACCAGCTGTGCTTACCTGAAAGAAACCAGGGGGCATTGGTCCGCCCGGCATGCCGTCATTGGGGGGCATGTTGCCCATTACGGGGCTGGGGGCTGCTGCTGCACTCTAGGAAATAGACAGAGAGAACAAGTTAGCATAGATATTAGACAACCCTGATACAATACTAATATTACACGAATGCTACTTTGATTTCGATGTGACATTATTTATGGTGCATTGTTTGGTCCATCAATAACAATTTTGTATCAAAACAGGTTTTTCAAACCCTGATGCTGATATCTGGGTCATTTGTGTTATGCAGTAAATTTACATGTCTCAATCATATCTTCATATATTGGATAAAAATATTAAATGCACAATTTGTAAAGATGAAAATCATATTAGTTAATTTTTGCTATTTTTGACATGTCAAACATTAAAAACTGGCATTTTTTTAAGTAATATTACATTTCTTTTTCATTTTCTGTTCCAAATGTTTTACTTGAAAGGGAATATTGTTTTAATTGGTAAATAAAATTAGAGGGGTTCATTTATTTTTATAAATTATAATTTTGATCAAACAAAAAAATAAGTTAAAATAATATTTACGAAAATAAAATATTATTGACATTTCTACTATTATTCTTAACACTTATAGAATATTTTATAGATTTCATATAGAATATATAGATTTTTTTATAGAATATAAAAATAGTTATATTTTAAATATATTGTTTGTTTTTTTTTTACTTTTAATTCATCAAAGAATCCTAAAAAAAAGTCTCACGTTTTCCACAATAAATATTTTGCACATAGCTAAAAATTCAGTTTTGGCATCATAGCAATAAACCTTAAAATATATTTATTAAATGCTAACTGAACAGAAAAGTTATTTTAAATTGTAATAATATTTATTGCATTTTTCAATCAAATAAATGCTTTTAGGACAACATTATTTATCCATGACACTAATAAAACAACCAAACATGGCATGAGAAGAAATTAAAGTTTTTTTTCAGCTGCCTTACAAGACAAACGCTTTAACAACATAGTGAGCAGATACAATACAACGCAGACCATAAAGAAACAAAACAGGCAGAATTTGCAGTTTGTTTAATTGCAGCAAACAGAAAAACGCCTGCACTACAGCTCGGCTCTTGTGTATCTGTGTACATACTTCCCCTCATAAAAGGGGCATAAAACAAGCAAACAGAGTGAGAGGAGCCTCAAGTGCAATCTCCTGAGCTAGTGGAACACTTAAGAGACTGGGGCCCCTTTCCTCCGTTGGCCCCGTTCCCTATTTCAAACCTCTTTAACAGTCTGCTGCTGGGAGCTTGTGTGTTTGCCAGTCTGCCCTGTTCTATCGGAGAGAGAGAAGGAGACGAGGCACATTGTGTGCGTCAGTGTATGTGTGAGTGAAAAAGAGACTAAACAAGGAGGGAAAGGAGGGAAGATAAAGGAGAAAGTAAGAAAAATAAAAAAAGAGGGAGGATTAAAAAGCAAGAACAGGCAGTCGGCTCACACACTCCCTCCCCCTGCTGTAACTCAAACCTCTCTACAGCCGCCTCTGACCTCAAACACACACATACACAAACTCACACAGCCTCTCTCTCACACACATGACCCTTGGGGTCAGTGGGCGGAGCTTATTTAGAATGGCTCCTCCCATTTACTCCACAAACACAAACACTGGGGAAGGCTGATATATGAAATACTCAAGGATTTTGCTGCTGATATAAAATAAAGCAACACTACTAATTACTTTAATGTGCTTTTTATTTGGCAATTATGTTTCCTACCAATTAAGACTACTTTTACAATCACTCCTTGTTGTGCATCTCACAAATATGGCTAAATGTTGCTATAATGACAAAACTTCAAGTAGCAAAACGGCTTCTAAAGTTGATTCATTTCTGTGAAGCAGTTAAAGTAATTTAAATTAAATTGGCCATTTCAATGAATCAATTCATTTAATTGTCAATTGAAATTAATCATTTCAAAATTATGATTCATTGATTCATTTGCACCATCACTCAGATGTTAACAGAAGTCCCTGAAATATTTTAAATATTGAAAATGATTTTGCTGGTAATATAAAATTAAGCAACATTGTGATGATTTTAATGTGCTTTTTATTAGGCCATTAAAGACCGTGTCATTAGACTAGTTTCACAATTTCTCCATGTCTTGTTTCTCGAAAGCATGACAGGAGTCTTCTTTCTGGTAACTTATGTCAGACTAGAAGGTCACATTCAGATCTGCCTCCATCCAATCTACAACTGAGGAACTTACGTTTTCCCCACTAACTAACGAACTAACTCTTTTTAGCTAGATGTATATCACAAAAAATATGGAAGGAAAAAAATCAGTCAATATACATAAAATAACACTTGTGGGTAAGGAGTAGTGGTCGACCGATATTGGTTTTTTGACAGCCGATGCCGATATCTTGGAAAGCAGGGTGGCCGATGGCCGATATAAAGCCGATATAATTGTAATTATTTTAATTAATGTTTAAGAAATTTGAAATAATTTGAAAATGGTTTAAAAAGTAAATGTGTTAAATAAACATACTTATACTTTAGATGACAAAGTATTTTTCACAAATAAATAAATATTTAATAAAAAATATAATAAAAAAGGAAGTAAACACTGTAACCAACAGGGCACTCAGTATTCTGGGAATCATATTTTTTCAAATAAAGCCAAGGTAACACTCATTTTACATACAGCACACAGTGGAAATGACATGAATATGGCAGTGGGCAAATGCATAAAGCGCAGCATAATTTAAAATCACGATCGCGCATCTCCAGTGAAGCTGAACTCTCCTCCTGTCCACATTCAATTCGCACGGACCATAGATCATGCAGGATACACATACACACTTCACAAGATCTCACAACTGGATCCGACTAAGTTTGCAAGCTTTGTGAAATTAAATG